CAATCTATAATATTTACTGGGAAATAAAATCAGCAGTATTCTCCCATCATGCAGCACTGTGGGAATAATTATAAATTCTAATACATTTCAAATAGAAATAATATGTTTGTATGAATTTTGTTATCTTTGTTATAGTTACATTATTGAAGGAAATAAGTATGCATGTTATATTTCTCTATGTATATATTTATATATATGTTTATATTTCTATATTGTATTAAATCAGATCTGCATTTATTATTATTCTTTGTTCTGTGAACATTTTGATCCTCTTTGTTTGAAACTCATTTAAAAACAGACATATTTAACTTTTATTGCACATTTATATTAGATTATTATTATTTTATGTATTTTTCTTTTTCTTTCTCATATATTGTGTATTTTATTGTGTATTTGATGTGTTTGTGTCTGTTTACCTTTGTTGGAAGCGTGTTTATATGTGTTATAAGGAGTAGAAATAAAACTGAATTGTTTCTGATGTTGATTGAGGTGAAATACAAACCTTACAAACCTATTTTAAATCTCACCTGCACAGGTTGCATCACTTCTCTGATTTCTGCTTCTGCTGTTTTATTGTGCAAATCAATCTAAATACAATAAAATCAATGTTTTTATTTTCTTTATTAGGTGGAAACGGATTTGTGGTTCTGATCAGTCCACATTGATGCGGCAGGGGGCGCTGTAACACAGCTGATAATAACATCATCATCAGTGTACATGTTTGTGTACACGTTGGAACACATTAGATGAATACATATTGTGTCTGAGTGAACAATAAGATATATACTTAGATAAAATAATGAATAACTGATATAAAGAGGCCGGAGGGTTTGTTCTGTTCATTATATAACGTCAGTGAGACTCTGCTGGTTGCCAGGTCCACAGTCCTCCTTTCTCATGCTACTCAGCTTATTTGGGTTTTTTTCTAAACGAGGTTTTGAATGGGAGGACAAACCGACCGGAGCCTGGCAACCCTGTGTGCTGACAGGATGCGTTTGCGCCACTTAGCAGCTAACAGTTAGCATCGTCAAGTAAGACTGACGCAATATCAGGAAATATCGGGTTTTACAAAATCAAAGCACGGTTCATGGTTTATGATAGAAACTGTACATAAAGGAGGTAAAAGGTACGTGAGCTACATTAAGGCAGTAAAATATGAAAAAAGCTGATTCGAATAATAAGCATAAAATACATGAAATATGTCAATAAATGTATGTAAAAAATATATAAATTTAAGGAAAAAATAATAATATCAGGCAGATCCAACACACACAGAATTTGATTTGCATGTTTTATATATGAAGTTATATGTCTAATTATATTTTCTAATTTATTTCAAAGTTAAATAAAAAACAGCTGATTAAGAAAAACAATTAATATATTTAAACAAATATCTTAAAATACTACAAACAACATGTTCAACATCCATCATGTGTTATTATTTATTGATTGTGTAAAATGTATGTATATAAAAACATAGAAAACTAATATTAACTGGTATTAATATTATATTTATCTGCAGTCACATACTGCACCTTTTAATTATGTCTCTACAAAGTTGGATAATGAAACAAAAGTCTGTTGTTCCTTCATGCTGAACACAAACGAAATAAAATAATATATATAAATAATACATACAGATATTTATACACTCAGGAAATAATTTGGCAATTAAGCTTTTCAATTTACGTCTTGGTTTTTATGATTTTGTTCATTTTTTATTTTTCTTTATTCCACTGTATATTATGATTTATTACTTTTTATTTAACACAGTCTAGGACAATAAAAGCGTTGAATCTGGATTTTTTAATCAGAGCATTATTGTGAAGGAGCGGACCGGATGTGTGCTGTCTTCCTGTCTCTAGCTTTACTCGAGCTCTTCCGCCGCTGAAGCGCCGTTCAGAGATTTTCTGTCCGCCGATCTGCGTCCAGTCACGGCGTCTGTGCGGCACCCTGAGGCCGGGAAGAGGATCCATCTGCCGTCCGGAGGGCTGGAGCTTCACTGAAAATAAACCCGCGGATGGTTTTGGACCTGGAAACCCGGGCCCGTAGCGGGAGCAGGGAGGAGGCCCCAACGCCCCCTTGTTCTGACCCAAAAAACAGCGCCGTCGGCCGGGCTGTCTGTCGAGCAGAAGGCCGGTGAGCCGCTGGCCGCTCCGGAGCTCGCAGGGTGGCTCCCGCGGAGGACGATTAACGCGGTTGGATCTATTTTCTTGTCGCTCCCCAGCAGGAGGGATTTGAATCAGCGACCTTCTGGAGATCCGCGGGCTGCTGTGAGCTAGCTCCCGGCTAGTTAGCTTCTGTCCCCGGCCAGCAGACAGCGGAGTCTGCGGAGGAACACAGGCGGGTTCCCGGTGCTTCCTCCTCGGTTCAACCCGCACCGGAGACACCGACAATGGCGGCCTTGATCAAAGAGATCGTCAGCAGAAACAAACGGCGGTACCAGGAGGACGGCTTCGACCTGGATCTCACCTGTATCCTTTACTGGTTCATTTACTGGAGCTACACTGGGCTTGGTTAGCATGGAAGCTAACGTTAGCTCTCACGCAGAACTTCATTCAGAAATGTTGTAATTTAATGACAGTGTCTGTGTGTGCAGGCAGTGTGCTCATATAGACCAACAGTGTGATACAGACGGAGCTGCTCTTCATATCGGTGAGCTGGAACACTTCAACAACCAGACTGCAGCTTAATGAAGCACTACTTTAACCAACACACCGTCTATTAAAGACAGCAGCGTTAGTGGAAGCTGCAGACTAAAACTGTGTGAAAGTGCTCTGTAGGCTGGTGTCTGTTATCAGCTGCTGTTAATCAGATACTACACAGCTGCATGTAAACAGGAATAAGTAATTATCATTAAGCAGCTTGGTAGGAATATTGTTTTTTAGAATAACAGTGTTATAGTGTATAGTCAGTGTTAATAATTACTGGGGGTTCCTCTGGGTTCTAGTCTGGGTCCTTTTACATTTTGGTCTGCAGTCATTGATGTGTTTGGCCAGTAGGGGGCAGCAGAGACCTGAAAACATCACTGATGGAGAGAGGTTGAGTTTCTGTTTCTCATCAGGCAGTCGTAGTGAAAGAGTTCAGATCCAGAAAGCAGAATCAATCTGCAACCGATCAGTGTTATTGATCCTTAATGTGTGATCAGATATTTATCCAAACATTATAGCGATGGGTTTCCCTGCTGAGCGTCTGGAAGGAGTCTACAGGAACAACATTGACGATGTCGTACGGTAAGGCACCTTCACTTCACCTCCTGCTGATCGATTCCATCAGTTTAATGATTATCTCTGATTTAAAATCAATACTGTCAGTTGGTTTCTGTTCACATTCTCAATCTGAACAACTTAAATGGAAATAATGAGGAGTTGAACCGTCCTCACATCAGAAATGTTTTCTATCATTTGACATTTGACCTCTTTGTGTTCTCTTCTTCTGTGGTGGTTTAATCAGTTGTCTCCAATCACTGCATTTTATATTTTATGTGTTTTTGTTGTTGTTGTATTTTAGTAAATGTTTGTGTTTATATACAGTTCCAAATGAATAGTTGATATAAATAAAGGAAAGAGATGAATTTATAAACCTGTTTGTGTGTTTCAGGTTTTTGGACTCGAAGCACAAGAATCACTACAAGATCTACAATCTGTAAGTACTGATGTGGTCAGACCTTCTCCCAGTGTGTACATTAATGTCTGTCTCTAACATCTGTCTCTGTCCACAGATGTGCAGAGCGACATTACGACACGGCCAAGTTCAACTGTCGAGGTAAGATTCAGTCCTGAAGTGGAAGCAGAGGAGGCGGTTCCAGTCTGTGGTGAGTCTCATAGTCCTCTTTGTGTCTGTCAGTTGCACAGTATCCATTTGAGGACCACAACCCCCCGCAGCTGGAGCTCATAAAGCCGTTCTGTGAGGACCTGGATCAGTGGCTGAGCGAAGACGAGCAGCACGTCGCCGCCATCCACTGCAAGGCGGGAAAAGGCCGAACCGGCGTCATGATCTGTGCCTACCTGCTGCACCGGGGCAAGTTCCAGGAGGCTCAGGAGGCTCTGGACTTCTACGGAGAGGTCCGCACCCGGGACAAGAAGGTAAACCACCGTCTGTCTGTAATATGACGTTTATCGTTTCATTTATGTTTGAACTGAGCAACGATTGATTTAAAGGAACCATATAGAAGCTTTAGATTGGACTGTTTGTGTTTGTTATGATCACATTACCGGGGATCACAAACTAGCATCCTGCTAACAGCTGAACATAAACAAGCTCAACAGCAACAACAGCAGACACAGCAAGCAGCTAATATTACTGACTAATATACTAACAGTCTCCGTTAGCGTCCTCTGACATTAGCTCTGTCTATAGAGGGCACATTTAGAGACGAGTTTTCAATTCAATTCAGTTTTATTTGTATATAAAAAAAAAGTTATGTCAGGATACTTTTCAAATAGAGCAGGTCTAGACTAAATTATTTACAGAGACCCAACAGTTCCCACCATGAGCAAGCACTCCTTTTAAGAGGCTGAAGCCTCGGACAGACCCCGAATCTAGGTGAGAGAGAGACAGAGAGATGATATTAGCTCTTTAAGATATGAAGGGGCCTGACCATGAAGAGCTTTATAGGTGAGGAGGAGGATTTTAAATTCTATTCTACATTTTACAGGGAGCCAGTGCAGAGAAGCTAGTACAGGAGAGATGTGATCTCTTTTTCTAGTTCCTGTCAGTACTCGTGCTGCAGCGTTCTGAATTAATTGGAGCGTTTTAATGGACTTATTGGGGCAACCTGATAATAAAGAGTTGCAGTAATCCAGCCTAGAAGTAACAAATGCATGGATTAGTTTTTCTGCGATCTGTCTGTGATAGGATGTGTCTAATTTTTGTAATATTACGTAGATGAAAGAAGGCAGTCCTAGAGGTCTGCTTTATGTGGGAGTTAAATGACAAATCCTGATCAAAGATAACTCCAAGATTCCTGACAGTGGTGCTAGAGGCCAAGGTAATGCCATCTAGAGTAACTATATCTTTAGAAAGTGAGTCTCTAAGATTTTTAGGGCCAAGAACAAGAATTTCATTTAACATCAGAAATAGCAGCTCATCCAGTTTTATATGTCCTTAAGACATGTTTGTTACTTAGATAATTGATTAATTTCATCGGGCTTGATCGATAGATATAACTGCGTATCATCTGCATAGCAATGAAAGTTAATGGAGTGATTCCTAATAATGTTGCCTAAAGGGAGCATATATAAAGTATATAGTATTGGTCCAAGTACAGAACCTTGTGGAACTCCATGACTAACTGTAGTATTTATTGAAGATTCATCGTTAACATGTACAAACTGTCAACGATCTGATAAGTATGACCTAAAACCAGCTTAGTAGGGTTCATGGAAAAACCTGGATATTGATTAAAATGACCATGATCGTTAGGGATGGGAATTGATAAGAATTTAGCGATTCCGATTCCATTATCGATATTGCTTATCGATCCGATTCCTTATCGATTCTCTAATCAATTCTCATTGGGTGAGGGAATAAGTACAAATTTGTTTGTTTGTATTAACTCGCTTTAATATCTGATCAGAAGACACAGCACAGAGTATACACAAATTATGTGTAGCAACCTCAGAACAAACCTAAAAGTAGGTGAGCTACTTCTCAAAGTAAAGTCCAGGGACCCATAGCCTAGGGCAGTGTTTCTCAACCAGTATGCAATGGCACGCTAGAGTGTGCCTCAAAAGATTATCAAGAGTCCCTTAGGATTAGGAAATTGTTAATTTTCACATGAATTGGTCCAGACAAAAAAATAAATGTTTGGCTTTTTAAGCCCAACTGCCATTATGTGCCATAAAAACTAAAAACACAGACTGTAATAGGGTGGCCATTTCCTTAACATCAAACAGGAGGACACTTTGCATACACAGGGACACACAAGCAGATATTTGTTTGGTATGATCCGGTTTTAAATTTGAATGTTTTTCCACCAGATTACATAAAGGTGCATACACATACCACATAGCTAATAATAAATATACAAGATACAGCTCATGACAACGTGCCCTTCAGATTACATAGGTCTAATAAACATCATACAGAAACTGTTCTTAATGTTTTTATCTGGATAGATAAAGGCAAACGGTATGTCCTCTGTCGCTGAGAGCTTGATTGACAGCCTGGTGGTAACTTAGCAACTGTGGTGAGCTCCTGTTGTGGCAAATCAACACATGGCTCATTTGAGTATTAAAATTAGCCATGTGTTGATAGGTCACTACACGAAAATGTAACCAATGAAATTACTTATTTTGACACATTTCTAGACAATAAGTATAATAATTTTTGTGCAGAAAAATTATCATGTCATTTAAAGTTACCTTCGGCACTGATAACAGATTGCGTCCCGTTAGCTCCGCTGCGGCTTGACTCACTTGTGTTGCTAGGTAGTACTGTATCAAGCACGTGACAGTCCTGCAAATGAATTGTTGCTGTGTGGCCAAATGTTTCTGCATATTGGAGGCAGTTCCCCCTTTGACGAAATGGAAACTTCACAAGTGTAGCAAGTGACCGTATTGTTGTCTTTTCACGTGAAATATAACCAAACTTTAGAGCGGTTCTGCCTCGATCCCATGTTCGCTGCATTCTGAACCAAAACAACGCAGCGCGTGTGTGACGTCAATCGTTAAGCAGGCACGCTAACGGTTCCAAGGAATCGATTCACTGGGCACCGGTTCTGAAGAAGAACCAGTTCTCGATCCCTAATGATCGTTAATAAAGTTAATGAGATCACCATCGGGCATGAATCATTCATCAGTATTAGCCCAATTGTACGTATGATTCATGATGATGAAGATACAGAGAGAAATGCATGGGAAAAAATAGCATACTGTCATATAAAAAAAACAACTTCCCTCTCCTGTTGTGGTGGTATCTGTGTCATCCTCAAGCTCGGGTCCTCTACCAGAGGCCTGGGAGTTTGAGGGTTCTGCGCAGTATCTTAGCTGTTCCTAGGACTGCGCTCTTCTGGACTGAGGCTTCTGATGTTGTTCCTGGGATCTGTTGGAGCCACTCCCCCAGTTTGGGGGTCACTGCCCCGAGTGCTCCTACTACCACGGGGATCACGCTCGCCTTGATCTTCCACATCTGCTCCAGCTGTTCTTTCAACCCTTGGTACTTTTCAACCTTTTTGTGTTCCTTCTTTCTGATGTTGGCGTCTGCTGGTATGGCCACATCTATCACCACCGCTTTCTTCTGCTCCTTGTCTACCACCACTATGTCCGGTTGGTTGGCCAGGACCTGTTTTGTCAGTCTGGAAGCTGAAGTCCCACAGCACCTTGGCCCTGTTGTTCTCAGCCACCTTCTGTGGCCCATTGGGATTTGGGTACTTCTATTCCATACAGGGTACAGATCTACTCTTGTAGATCTTGGCCTCTATGGCTCTTGTACCTAGGGCCTGTTCTTGTGCTGCCATGATCAGTGCCTCTGTGCTGTCTCTGAGTCCAGCCTTTTCCAGCCATTGGTAGGTCTTCTCGATATCAGCCACTTCTTCAATTTGGCGGTGGTACGTGCCCTGTAGGGGCTTGTCCCCCCAGGTTGTCTGCTCCTCTTCCTTTGCACTCTTATGGGGTTTCTCTTGCCTGAGACATTCACTTAGCAGTTCATCCTTTGTGGCCATTTTTCTGATGTACTCTTGGATTTTTGATGTTTCATCCTGGATATTGGCCTTGATGCTCACTAGTCCTCGGCCTCCCTCTTTCCGCTTAGCGTACAGTCTCAGGGTGCTGGATTTGGGGTGAAACCCTCCGTGCATGTGTATGTATGTAGTGTGCACCCTGTTAGCAGCTACGTCACTGTCCATCGGGAAACTCTGTAAGTTAAAGAGTTGAGGCGGCATAGTCCGAGGACACCCGAGGATCAACCAGAAAAACATTTAAGATTTAATCAGGAAACACTAAAAAAGACCTACCTTATTTTCTCTTTTGTACATTAACTGCTGATAAATATGATCCAGTGTCTTGTGGGATATCATAACCACAGCCTGAGGTTGTGCAGCATTCACCTTACTACAGCGTGGCATCAAAATTAAGCTGTTATTTTAAGGTGTTAGTTACATAATGTTGCTTTAAATCGGGTCAACACCTGTCACCTGACCTGATTTCATCACTCTGCTATTAAGATTTTAGAAAGTGACACAAGAAAGTGACAGATATAAAAACATAAGTTCAGAGTAGTTCGAGTGCAGATCACCAAATGCCTAAAATAAGAGAAGTAGAAGCACGTTTAATGCTCGTTATTAATGATCCACTGCTTACACTGTGTGTGTGTGTGTGTGTGTGTGTGTGTGTGTGTGTGTGTGTGTGTGTGTGTGCACACAGGGTGTGACCATCCCCAGTCAGCGGCGATACGTCATCTATTACAGCTTCCTGCTGAGGAACCAGCTGCTGTACAAACCGGTCGCTCTGCTCTTCCACAAGATGTTGTTTGAAACCATCCCCATGTTCACTGGAGGAACCTGCAGTGAGTCTGTCTGTCTGTCTGTCTGTCTGTCTGTGGTCAGATATATGAGACAGATCATTAACTGATGACTCTTGTTTTTATTTGTGGTGCAGATCCACAGTTTGTAGTGTACCAGCTGAAGGTGAAGATCCACACATCGAACCCCGCCAACACCCGGCGGGAAGACAAACTGATGCTGTTTGAGTTCCCGCAGCCACTTCCTGTCTGTGGAGACATCAAGGTGGAGTTCTTCCACAAACAGAACAAGATGATGAAGAAGGTGAGGAGGAGGAGGAGGAGGAGGAGGAGGAGTGATTTTAAGTGTTGATGCAGATGTTATGTTATTGTATTATACTTCATTTGTTAATTTGGCACTTAGAGTAGAGCGTCAAAGGTAACGCTGACGCATTGTCAGTGTGAGGAGAGTATGTTGGCGAGGGACATTGAGGCTTCAGCCATGAAGCTCCTCTGCTGGTTGAAGCTGCTCTGGCCCCAATATGAACATGGAGGGTAGAAAAATTAGGAAGAGGAAGGTGAAGGTCCAGGACAATAGTTGCTCCTAGAATAAAGGGCCAGAGGAAAATATGGGTAAAATGGACGCCAGAGTAAAGGTGGTTGAGGTTAGGCAATGAACCCGAGGAGTTAAGGTAAGGAAGACCTGTGGGTAAGGTGTTGAGACTCAGATTGTCCCCGATATTGATGGTAGAAGTCCCAGAAAGAACATTAAGGTTAAGATGGTTGGATCTGGATCATTGTTTATATAAGGAATTTATAGTTCAAATCTATAATAAAGGTAAGAGGTCTGAATGCTTCCCAGACATTGAACCCCAGATCACAGATTAGTCTCAGGGTCTTTATGTGGACCTACAGCGCCCTCTACCTGTAGACAGGTGAGTTAGAAACAACTGGCTCACCTTAGACTCTGTCCTTCCAGGAAAAGATGTTCCACTTTTGGGTCAACACCTTCTTCATCCCGGGGCCGGAGGAGAACCCCGACAAACTGGAGAACGGCAGCGCCGGGACGCTGCGGGAACCGCCCGACAGGACGCAGCAGAGCCTGGTGATGATGACGGGAGGAGACGGCAACGACAGAGACTACCTGGTTCTGACCCTGACCAAGACCGACCTGGACAAGGCCAACAAAGACAAAGCCAACAAGAACTTCTCCCCAAACTTCAAGGTAGAACGTCAAGACCCTAATGCCCCCCGTCCCTGTACTAATGCCCCCTGTCCCTCCACTAATGCCCCGTCCCTGTACCCCTTGCCCTCCACTAATGCACCCGTCCCTGTACTAATGCCCCCTGTCCCTCCACTAATGCCCCGTCCCTGTACTAATGCCCCTTGTCCCTCCACTAATGCACCCGTCCCTGTGCTAATGCCCCCTGTCCCTGTACTAATGTTTTTATTGTGCCCCTCAGGTGAAACTGTTTTTTACCAAGACGGTAGAGGAAGGAGCGAACTGTGATGCGAGCAGCACGTCGGCCTCGGTGACGCCGGACGTCAGCGATAACGAACCGGATCACTACCGCTACTCGGATACGACAGACTCGGACCCGGAGAACGAGCCGTTCGAAGAGGACCATCACAATCAGATCACAAAAGTGTGACACACACACACTCTCACACACTTAGATATACGTGTGTGTGTGTATATACACACAGTATGTATGTATGTATGTATACACACTCATGAACCCCCAGATGGAGACTAGCACGTTAGCTAACAGGGGAATATAACCGACGGACCAGAACTGATCAATGGGACTCAAAGAGCTCATGTCAGTATATAAGCTCCTCCCCCTCCAATCTTCTGCTCAGCTGGACAATCACAGGAAGTGGCGGCCGGAGGCGAGGAGGGCGGGGATAAGTGTGTGGGCGGGGCCAGGTCAAATGGACAATAAGACAGATGAATGGACAGACAGAAGGTTTAAAGAATAAAGGAGTAAAACTTGAATATAAACAAACTGAAACACAAGTAGACTTCTTTAGAGATGTTTGTTGGATAAATCCCCACAATCCTTCCTTCCTGACCCGTAAGAAACTTTATGCAGACCAATCTTCATTTCCATCGCTTCAATCTTCAGTTGTGACGCTGGTGGACTCTTCTCTCTGTGTGCTCACGGCCAAATGTACAAACGGTTCTGAATCTAAATTAAATCTGAACGTATTTATTGGTGCAACTTCTAGTGGTCCCGAATAGTGAATCCAGATCCTCTCTCTATCTCCCCCTGGTGGCTGACTGCAGTATAGACTCTCTCTATCTCGTATATAGTGATGTAATGATTACTCTGTGTGGCTCTCGAGCCCGTGGAAAACAAACCAGTCCTCAACCCTGAACCAGCACTAGCGCCAGAACCAGAACTAGCATTGGTGGAAAGGGGGACAAGTCAGTTAGTGGTCTAAGTACTGTGATGATTGTCTCTGTTCTCAACCAAAGAACTGAGCCCTCCAAACTTCTCTTAAGAATCTTTCTCCCAAATTTGAGTCATGTTTGGACCAAGCTGGACCAGTCTCAGTGCTGGTCTTTACCAAATGTGGACCAGTTTCAGGTGGTTTGGACTGGTTTTGAGGCAAAGCAGCACACAGAGAGAAGAGATGGCTTGTTTGAATGTGATGAAGGTAGACGAGAAACTTATTTTATTCACAATCTGCAGTTCTGTCAATCATCTACTGTTGAAACAACACAAACAGTTCAAACCTACTGTGAACAATTCTACTGTCTGTCTGTCTGTCTCTGTCTGTCTGTCTACAGTTTTGCACAGAAGGATTCTCTTCAATCAGCTCCTACAGTTACAGTTTCCGTTATATCAAACTTTAAACAAGCTGCACGCAGTGTAACTATTCCTTCAGCCAGTCGGTTAACTCAAACTACAACTCCATAGCGCTTGGTTTTGATGTGCCTGGGAAGCCAGGTGGGTGGGGTTTTATAAAGAACTGCTCACTGATGGCTTTATACTCGATCCATCCAGAGAACATTTGGTTCTTTTTATAAAGCTACCGTTGGAGGTTTTAGCTCAACCTGGAGATCAGAATATTGAACACGGATAAAGTGAGGGTTGATATGAACGATCAGTCTGCTCCTGACTCAGATTTTTTTGGATCATCTGCCAGAGGATGTTGAGAAACTGTGTTCCACCAATGTGCTAGAAGATTGTTTGAGCAAACAGGTGCTGGTCAGTCCCTCCAGGAAGTTGCGATCTTAATCTTAATTACAGAGTTCCCACATGTCCTGGAAAACCTGGAAATTTGTTTCCCAGTCATGGAAACACCTGGAAATAATCTCTGTTGTTTCCTCACTCAGTTCACCTTCTTAAACCCGGGTTAGTGGAAAACTAGTAAACTAGTCAAATCACCGGAGACGCTGCAGAGAAATGTGTCCCATAAATATTGACCACATACCTTTTAATGAGTCGAATCATTGTAGCTTCCTGCACAAAACATTGAGCCATAGGTCACCAAACTCACTTCCTTGTTTATAGTTTGAAGATGCACACGTGACGCGTACGTCTCACATTGACCCTCCAAACTTTGCGATTTTATTCTGGAACAAGTTCTCAATTTTTCATGAATAATACAAAAAAATTGCAACTATTTGTGCAACTTCTACTTTCTCCTGCATTTTATTGCAAAAAAAGCCAAAAAAAATAAGAAAATGCATCACAGTTATTTAGAACCCGCCGTGAAATTTTAGGCCTGCGAGATCCTGGAGGGACCGATCAGTCTCCTGAGGTGTGACCTCTGTGTGTTTTTGGTTTCTGACATTTCAGAAACAGGACGTTCTACAACTATTACTCTGATTATTAATCATTTTACTCATCACTACCACTTCTTGGAGACATTTAAGCACTTGCTAACTGTACCTTTACCAACAGTTTTAGGATCACATTAGCATTACAGGTTCAAGACTCCTCCATCTGGATCTTACAGAAGATACTGAACGTTAGGGATGCTCCTGTGTGTCTTTTTACATCGTAGGTTTATTTGGAGTCATTACAGTGAACCTGTTCAGTTCCTGTTCTCTGTTCTCTGACTGAATGCTGGTCCATAGAAGATCATTCCAAACCATTTTCTTAATGTAAACAGACTTTATTGTTTAGATGCTTCCTGATTGGTCGGTGTTCTACTGCATAAACATACCACGAAGTTGGAAGTACTGTTTGCAGTTTAGAGATCGGAGAGGAGATTTGTATTGAATAGCAGTGAATTTGTTCAGATTGGAGCATCCCTAATGTTTATCTAAACCTCCAGATTGGGTTTGGGCAGAAGTCTGATTTCCGTCCTAACGTTTGGTGCTACTACCATCATCGGCCCTGTGTTGGTCCAGTAGTTATTGATTGTAGGTGCGGTATTAAGACTCGGGATTGGGTCTTGAGGTTCCCGTTGTCAAGCCTGTAGGCCTGATTACACAGGACGTTCTCTGAAGGCTTGCAAACACGAAACTGCTTTTATTCTGAGAAGCTCCAACTTTTATCTGATTGGAAAGTAAAGAAGTTGCATCACTTTCTCACAGCGAGGTGTACCAGCCAGATAAATATCCTGGTTCCAGACAGATGAATGAAACGGATGATCATTTTCCTGATTGGAAAAACAATTGAGGCAATCAGAGCGTTGTAGGTGGATTTGAAATGTGAATGTTGTCTTCCTGCCACAACAGTCAAATCTCAACAGAAAACACAACTAAATGAGCCAAGAAACAAAATGGACATTGGGATTCTCAAAAATAATCCTCAACTCCTTGAAGTCACTGGAACAAGTAGAAGAAAGTACGTCCTGTGTGATCAAATCTTTAGCATGCTAACAGCTAGCCATGGTTGAGCCTACAGTTCCTCTTGTTGGGTTTAAGGTGCTAAGCTAAGCTAGCCAGGGCTGATGCTGAGTCTGTTCATCTGTGGCGCTCTCCAGCAGCCACGAGTGTGGTCAGCATGGCGATCTGTCCACAGGCTGTTTGCATTTTACACACCTCCTGTCCTGAGTCGTGTTAGGTGCTGTCAGGCCTGGTCTCACTTCCTGTCATCAACCCGTTCAGATGTGACTGGTGTCACCTCATTCAGTGGAGCAACGAATTCACCCAGGAAACAAACAGCCGTGGACTCTTATGTCCGCTTTGTGTCAGTCAAGCTGATTGGTTGAGACAACTTCCTGTTGGGAGGCGGGTTCAAACCCAAAAATAAAGGCTTAAATATTCTTGTTTGTAAAAGTCTAAGAAAGCAAAAAGCTTTTAGTTCCTCCTGTTGATGCTGGCGGGATGCTCCATGTACTGGTTTGCACTGACCGGGTTTCAGGTGTCTGAGTCCAGGCAGGTGCTGTCCACGTCTCCAACTGTTTCAGGTGCTTAATATCTTCTTCTTTTAACCATTTTATAGTTGTAGGTCGCAGTTCAGCTGCGTCAGATCCATTAGAAATCCTTTGTGATGAACCAGTGGATTCAAACGTTTGTACCCTAAACTATTCAACGTTTTTAAACAGTGTTCAGGGTTCCTGCACCGAACGGAGATGTCACGACAGCAGAAATGGATTTTCCTTTGCAGTAATGTTAGCTTTGACTTTGGACTCGTTAGCGGACTCCATTTCAACAGCACAACAAGAACATTTGTTCTTCATTCTGGGATCTCCCAGTTTCTCTCCGTTAGTTTCTGCTTTTTTTCTGCCACCACAATGTGCAACTGCAGGGACGTAACTCTAACATCCACTAAAGTGGTCTATAGCTGCCCCGTCAGGTCCGGCAGAGTTCAATCTCCGGTACTGTAGAAAACACGTCATTCAGAACTAAATCAACTTGGTATCGGTTCTCGTGACATCCCTAGATATTACCACGACCTCCGCACAGGAAACGGAAACCTGTTGATTTAAAAACCTGAAGTTGAGTCTGAACGTTTGAATCTGTAAAGGAACCTTCAACAATCAACAGTTTTACACACAGAAGAATAAACTCGAAGCTTCTTTAACTCTTTGTGTTTACATCTCATCACCAAACCTGCCAAATGAAGCTCCGACTGATGTTTGTTTGTTTGTTTGTTTGTTTGGAGTTGACGCAGTAAACATGTCCTTTCTTGTGTTTGCCTTAAGGGGTGGTCACATTAACCTTCGTTCAACCTAAATAATGGAGTCTACAGGTGAACTGAGAGTCCGCTGGAGATCTTTAGTTTGTCGTTGTGGCTTTCGGACTGAGGCGTCATGTGACCGTAACTTTACTAGAAACCAACAACAGTTTTCTGCTCTGAGTTGGTTCCACCTGTCCTTACCTGTCCTTACCCGTCCTCACCTGTCGCTCTCTGTAACACCTGTCCTTACCTGTCCAGGTGACTGAGCCCCGCCCCTCGGTTACTGTTGCTAACCTGTCTACAGTGGTGGCGGCAGTGTAATCGCCCATCAGAGCAGATTATTTTTGTTTGTTTCAGTGTTCCTGTTCATGATGATTGTCGTGTTTTTATTTGTCAGGTATTGATTTTGTATCAGTCAGGAAGCTCAGCAGAACTCTGGCCTGTATCACCACGGATCAATACTTCATGTTAAACTGACCCTGCCCCCCCCCCGCACTTCTTTTATTCTTTCCCTCCTCCTTTTATAATTAAATAAAAACACTGTAAAGTGAATAAACTATTTATAAACATCCGTCCTCATCTGGATCCAATTATTTTTACTACAACACCCATGAGTCTTAGAGTGTGTTCAGACACTGCAGCCTAAAAAATGTGGTTGTCTTTTCAATACTGAGGCTTTCTCAACTGTTATTGGAGCACCGAGCAAAAGGGGTGGGGTTTAGGAAGGGTCAATTGACCCATCAACTTCCTGTACTTAAATCAGAATCAGAGGGTTAGGGTTACAGGGAAACAGATTTATTGCTGCAAAGGTTCCTTAAAGTATACAATCACACAAAAATATACTATGCTATATGCTAGGCTAATCTATATTGAAAAGACAGCCACATTTTGAAGATGGCCAACTAGCTAGCTAAATATTAGTGAAAATAAGGATTCAATTCAATTCAATTTTATTTGTATAGCGCCAATTCACAACAGAAGTTATCTCAGGACACTTTTCAAATAGAGCAGGTCTAGACCGAACTCTATCTAGCTATATATAGTCACATCCTTATTTTCACTAACCCTAACCCTTATGTTGCTTTTTACCAACATAAGCTAACTTAAGATATGACTATATATTTGTCTATTTTTTAACCATCTTCAAAATGTGGTTGTCTTTCCGACATAGATTAGCCTAGCATAGCATATCTAAGTACAGGAAAGGAAGAAGATGACTGAGGCTTGCTCAACTGTGATTGGAGCACAGAGCAAAGGGGGCGTGGCTCAGTGAGGATTCAATTCAATTCAATTTTATTTGTATAGCGCCAATTCATAACAGAAGTTATCTCAGAACACTTTTCAAATAGAGCAGGTCTAGACCGAACTCTTTATAACATTAATTACAGAGACCCAACAGTACCACCATGAGCAAGACCTTGGAGACAAGGGCAAGGAAACACTGCCTGTTAAAAGGCAGAAACCTAGGACAGATCCTTCGGCTCTAGGTGGGTGGTCGTCTGTCTCGACCAGTTGGGGTGAGAGAGAGAGACAGAGAGAGAGAGAGAGACAGAGAGAGAGAGAGAGAGAGAGAGAGACAGACAGACAGACAGACAGACAGCAACAACAGTATTGGCAATGGCAGTCTAGCAGGACCATGGCAGGAGGCTCCACCAGGATCCATGAGAACCTGCGAGACGAGAAAGCACAAGAACTCCGGGGAAGAAGTGAAGTTAGTAACATGCATTAATGGAACATGAATGAGTGCAGAAAGAGAGAGGAAGGGAGGAGCTCAGTGCACCATGGGAAATCCCCCGATAGTCTAGGCCTATAGCAGCATAACTAAGGGATGGTTCAGGACTCACCTGATCCAGCCCTAACTATAAGCTTTATCAAAGAGGAATGTCTTAAGCCTACTCTTGAATGTGGTGAGGGTGTCTGCCTCCCGAACCACAACTGGAAGCTGATTCCACAGGAGAGGGGCGGCTGAGGCTCAGAGGCAGAGCGGGTTGTTCCTAAATCGGAAGGTTGTGGGTTCGATGGACTTTGCCATGTGTGAATGTGTGTGAAAGGGTGAATGTGGCACGTAGTGTAAAAGCGCTTTGAGTGGTCAGAAGACTAGAAAGGCGCTATACAAGTACAGGTCCATTTACCATTTACCATTTACACCTCCGCCCAGCCGGACTCACCACCGGGTCCTGGTGGACCAGTAAAGACCTCCAGCCAGCCGGACTCCCCACCGGGTCCTGGTGGACCAGTAAACACCATAAATTCATCCTGACGGGAACATGAATGTCTGAACTGCATTTCATCACAATCCATCAAATATTTGCTGAGATATTTCAGTATGACCTAAAAACATATATTATTATTATTATTATTATTATTATATAAATATATTGAGTCTAATGTCTCCTCACCAAACTCCATTCAAATAAACGTGTATTTAAGCTCAGTTTCTGTGTGGAAGAAACAACACGAGGTTTCTACCAGTGACTTGGCAGAAATTATAATCACTTCCCCCACAATGCACTGCAGCAGCACTACTGAGCGCGCTCCAAACGACTGGAGAGAAGGCGAGGAAAAATTAGGTCACACACACACACACACACACACACACACACACACACACTCTGAGCCTTGTGGGCACCAAACCATAACTAATTCTGTCTTATCTGCTTCTATAAAAAGATGAAAAAGTGTGAAGCTGTAGAGAAACTCTTCATCAGTCCTCAGACTGACCTCATAATGCTGCACACACAGCTGATTCCTGATCAATAATGACTTGTTTGAAATCCAATCACACAGTCACATTAATCCGTCAATAACCAATAAACTTCAAATCTTTGAATGAATCGATTCAGAAATCCATTTATTCATTAAACACATGAAATATAATCCATCACTTTTATTGACTATCTTATTGTGGTGGAGTCACTTCCTCTCGTGTCGGCGGCGTCACAGCGAGGCTTTCAGCACACTGAGCACGCTCAGTGCAGACTCCACGCAGCCGTCGAAGTTGGAGTGCGTGAAGGCGTCGCCGCTGCAGACGAGCAGCGGGCGGTCGAGGACGGTCATCTGACCCGGACAGTCCGGCACCGAGGTCAGCACCTGCAGGAGGGACGGGAGGGGTCAGAAATCAAACGCTGCCTCGCTGAGAGCAGTTCAGGGTCAGTGGGAATTCTCACCTGCGAGTACCTCCACTTCTGGCACTTGATGCTGATTGGCTGAGGCAGACCAGGAAGCAGCTTGTAGAGTTCCTGTAAGATGATTGGCTGGACGTCCTCCTTGTCTTCCTCCAGGTGCTGCAGGCCGAACGGGACACTGGTGTGGACGACGAGGGACGGACCGTGACCCGGAGCGTCTGCACGGACACAAACATGATGTCACACCGTAGAAAGGAAGATCATTGGTCGCCATATTGGTGAGGTCAAGAGTCTCATCAATAAGAGAGAAACTGATTGGTTACTTCAGTCACTGGGGGCGGAGCTAATGAAGGACTGATGAAGCTAACTCCTGATGAGGTGCGGTGTGCAGGCAGACAGGTGAGCGGGCAGACAGGTACCTGCGTTGCGTTTGCGGGAGTCTGCGGCGATGTAGCAGATACACGGGTTGTCGGCGACATATCGAACCGCCCACTGAAAACTGAACACGACTCCTGGAGGGAAGAAAAGAGCGATGGCGAAACGAGACGAGTACACAACCCCGTCTAACTGCTGCTTCTGCTGGACAGACAGGACTGAGAGAGAGAGAGAGAGAGACAGACAGAGAGAGAGACAGACGGAACGGACATAGAGAGAGAGACAGACAGAGAGAGAGGTTTAACTTCCGTTTTATTGGACTTTTTCATCACAAACACATCATCACTTTAGACCTAAACAAGACAAAACAAAATAAGATACAACAAAAATAAATAAATATAAAAACAACAGAACCCGACAACTAATCTTTCATCAGAAACTCTTCTCCAGCCCCCCTCCCACCATAAACTCCAGTCTACCTCGTTTGCTGGATTAGTGTGTGTTTCTTGTAAAAATAAAACATCTATCCTTTTTTGAGTTGAGACCTCAGATATTAATGCTCTTTTATATCTGTCTCTCCCACCGTTAGTGTTTAAAGATCCTATTTTTAGGCTCTGCATGTAGAGGTCAGAGAGGAGAAACAGGTAAAAAGAAACAAACAAAGAACAGTAAAAAGAGGAAATCCCTGTGTGGTACATGATCATTTTACCTTCTTATCCTTTTGGCAGTTTTACCTTTTATTGCCTTTGTCAGAGTAGTGAGATGTTTTTTCAAATGGAAGCGTTTCTTTTCATCCAATAAGTCAAACCCGACCAGTTTTTTTAGTACAGTGACGGATCTGATGAACTTTTCAGTGTCACTGAAATAATCACATACTCTAACAGATTTGTTAAAAGTTACATCCAGAAAATGATTTATTTCGTCTAAAGAATATAGATCTGTGTTCCTGTTAGAGGTTTCACCAATGGATGTAGTGTCTGATTCAGTGTCATACTCTTCTCCTTCACATGATACCTGACTGACGCCCTGTCCTTCCTGCCGGCACCGGGCGCAGATGCACCGGCAGCGGGCCCAGCCGCGGGCACGGATACGCCAGCACCGGGCGCAGCGGCAAGCGCCACTCCCTGCTGTTTATGTGGACACGCAAAGCGTTTGTGTCCCACATCTCCACACTCAAAACATTTGAGCTGACCCGAGCTGGCATACACCATATAAGAGCCATCACCATGCTTCACTCTGAAAGACACCTCCAGTGTTTGTGTGGGCGGCTCCAGGAACATGAACACCTGCTGCCTCAGAGACTGCACATGCTTCAGTTTGGGATCTTTACATCCCAAACTCACAGTTTTAAATCCACTGGCAAATTTCCCAAACCTGCACAACTCGTTCTCTAACAGCTCATTAGAAATGAACGGCGGAACATCGGATACGGTGATCCGTGTAGAGGGAACTGATAGCGGGGACGCCTGCAGAAATATGTCCCTCATAAACACGCCACTCTCTATCAGCTGATTGACATGAGGCTCATCTTTCAGAAACACAACCACTGCTTTGTTCATTCTAGATGCAAAACACAGTTTATCATGTCCTACTTGCTCACCGACAGCCAGCAGGACCTCCTCCTCACTGACCGTACTATCCGCCGGCACTATCCTCACTCCCTGCCGGAGAGACGGAGGTAGCGTCTCGGCGGACGCCATTCCTCCGAACAGCAGCCAACACAACCACCAATCACTCGACCAACACTCAACTAATATAAAGGAAAACTCACCTGATCATACACAGAGCACAGATAGAAAAAACAGCAGTGAAACCCAACGAGGGGACAGAAACCATTCAAACTCCGCGCTGCTCACTCACACCTCCACCTGCACCGCTCACTCACACCGGAAACAGAGAGAGAGACAGACAGACAGACAGACAGACAGACAGACAGAGAGAGAGAGAGAGAGAGAGAGAGAGAAACAGACAGACA